ACCATGATCAATAGTGACACCACATATGAGATTTGGACCTCCATTTGAAAAGCAATTAATGCCTACCACGATAGAAAAAGCACGCTACTTGAAGAACATGCTAATGACCATTAAGAAGGGAAATATATCAATTAAAGAATATCTAAGGATTGATTAAGATTTAAGCAAAGGAAAGAATAGCTTTTGAAACAAGGCCTTAAAATCAAAGATGAAAGGGATGTGATCGTGGTCAAAGAACAGGAAATCATAATAATTTTGATAATAATAAAGATAATTATCAATCTACTAAAAATCGTGGGAGAAAAAAAAGTAAAGGCAGAGACAATTTTAGTAAAATAAATAAAAAAAGTATGATAAACTTAATGTTGAATGTTTCAATTGTCATAAACATGATTATTACTCTTGAGAGTCTAGAACAAATGTAGAAAGCTAATCTTATTGGAGAGAAGGAAGAAAATGAAAAGCCATCATTATTGCTAAATTTTAATAATGAAGATAAGGATGACAAATTCTTATGATATCTTAACAATGGAGCAAGTAATCATATGTGTGGTTTCAAAGAAAAGTTTATTGAGCTTGATGAGAAGGTGGAATGAAATGTTTCATTTAGAGATTCTTAAGCATCATTTTAATATCTTTAAAAGATGATACTCACATACTTATCATGCATGTTTCCTATGTTCATAATTTAAAAAGAAATATTTTAAGTTTGGAATAACTCGTTGAATAAGGGTATGGAATTTTTATGAAAAATTGTTATTTGTGACTTAGAGATTAAAATTCTAATTTGATTGTTAAAGAATTTTTGTTAAGAAATAGAATATTTTCTTTAAACATTAAGATCATTGAAGTAAAATGTTTCAAGGCTAGCACTAAAAATGAATCATAATGTTGACACTTAAACTTTGGTGCACTCAAGATTTTAGGAAATGAGAAGATGACAAGAGAGATGTCTTTCATTAATCATTCCAATCAATTGTGTGAGGCATATCTCATTGGTAAGCATGCAAGAAGAAAATTTCCTAAAGAAATTGAACTAGGAAAAAAGTATTTCTAACTTGTTCATATTGATGTGTGTGGTCCAATTGATCTTTCTCATTCGATGAAAATAACATTTTTGTTTTTCATTGATGATTTTAGTAGGAAGACTTGAATTTATTTTTTAAGGCAAAAATCTAAGGCTTTTAAAAAATTTAAAATACTTAACACAAAAAAAAATTATGTATCAAAACTCTAAAATTCAATAGAGATGGCAAATTAACATAATTGTTTTTAATAATTTTTGTGAAAAGCATAAAATTTATTGTCTTTTAACAGTTCTTAGAACTTTTCAACAAAATAGGATAACATGGAGAGAAAAAATAAAAATATTCTTAATATGACAAAATATATGTTAAAAATTAAAAATATGTCTAAGAAATTTTGGAGTGAAGTTGTACAATTTATTTATCTCATTGCTTTCTTGCAAAGAATGTTAAAGAACAAATATTGCAAGAAGCATGGAGTGAAGTGAAACTAAAAGTTGATCACTTTAAAGCCTTTGACGGCATTGCATATGCTCATGTACCTGACTAAAAAAGATCTAAGCTTGATGTAGTTTGATGTGTTCATTGGCTATGATGCAAACTCAAAAGGTTACACTTGTATAACCCAAGCAATAACAAAATAGTAATGAGTCAAGATATTGAATTTAATGAAAAAAAGTGATGAGTCACTGACTCATTTAGAAAATTAAAAGTTTTTCGACATATTTTATTGAATTTAAATTATAAGTTAATGCAATTAATTGAGAAATTCAATGGAATGTGGTATTTGCTGGAAAATTCATGAATCACTAATATTCTGATGGCTGACAGCTTTATTTTAAAAGGATTAGAAAGAAAATTTCAATTAAACTTGAAGAGTTATAATTGAGTGCTGCAGGACTCATTTGTGAGGACACGTATTTTTATTGTGAGGACACGATGCTGACTGAGCATATAAAAGCGAAAAATTTCTGAAAAGACAACATCTTGGCATCTTTTATTCTTTCCTTTTTAGTACATTCTAGAGCGTAGAAACCTAGGTTTTGACATACAGCTTATGTAGAATACGGTAGCTAGGATATTTTCTTTACATCTTTGCTAGAAGATTCTTATGAGAACTTGGATTTCAACTCATTTTCTCTGGCTTATGTAATGGAACAGTAACTTTCTCATTTCATCTATTTTCTGCGATATATTTCAGTTTTATATTATTTACTTTTATTATGTCTAGCTAAATATCTTTGGGTTGAGTGAGGATGAACCTATACCTTTGCCCTTTGCAATGAATTAACATTGAATATAGCTTAAGATACATGCTTTAATATAATATATTGAATCTGAACTTAATGCTTTTCTGTTCTACATGAATGTGATTGATGAAAAGGAGTTTATTACGGGAAAGTATTGAACTTTCTTGCAAAGGGATTAATTTGCTCATTATGAATTGTCTAGGAATAGAAATTTTTGATGATGTGGTCAATAGATTTAATTCTTATTGTTGAATGTCTTTAGTTATATCTAAGGAATTAGGACACTAATTTCATTTTAGAACCAATTACCAAGGAATTGGGGTTGAGTACTTTAGAAAATCTTACTATTAGATGAAGTTGTATTTTGAATTATAAATATATTTGTATGCAAAGGGAAAGGGATAAGAGATTCCAAACTCAACCTGCTTTTAATTGTGTTTAGACCCATCTCTAGTAATTTAGACATTTATATTCTACAATTATTTTAATTCTTACTTCATTTTTAGTCTCGCAGTTTCTATTCATTTATAAATATTAAATTCGGCACTTTTAATTCTATTTTTACCATTCTGCATTGAGTTAAATTTTGTTATATTTCTATTTTGTTATATTCCAACTAGTGTCATTCTTGTGGTTTGGTATTTAGCATTAATTCCTATGGACGATAATCTTTTGTTACTTCAATAATTTGGTGCACTTGCTAAAAATTTTATCAAGTTTCTAGCGTCGTTGTCGGGGATTAATTGTTAATATCAATTGTAATGAGAATTCACTAGCTTGAGTTAATAATTTCTGCTATATTTTAAGTGTTCGCAGAAAAATCTAAGTGCAGCAGCTGAATTAGTTGATGCGAGGCAAGGAGAAGATCAAATAGAGTGATTCATCTCCAGAACTTAATCAGCCAATTATTAATTTCACGAAGAAAAACAAAAAGAAGGGACAAACTTCAGAAAAAGAAAAAGACCCCACAAGAACAGAATTCTGCAGAAATGGCAGGAAATCCCAATGAAAAATAGAGGACCTTGGATGATTATGCACGTGCAAGAGTGAGAGAAAACTCCACCTCTATTGTTCGACCTCCCATTCAAGCAAACAACTTTGAGATCAGATTTGACTTTATGAGAGTAGTCCAATGATAACCACGTCGCAATGGTATCAAACAAGCTAGATTTTCTCAAAAATTTGTGCAATACAAGAAGCAAACCTAGGTCATTTCTCAAGGACATAAAATGCATTTTATTTTTAGTTCCATCATGAAATTTCAAATTAGATTGGGGAAGGATTTGTTTTGAATTTAAACGACAAAATAACAAAAACGAAAATTAAGGATTATGAAATTCAACCAATTCAAGATCTCAATCCTTACAATGCAATTCTCGTCGTTCACACAAATATGATCCCAACGAATTTCCAATCACACTAATTCAATGCGCATCAACAACCCTAAAATCTAAATCTAGATTATGAATTCCATCAAAACAAGAACTGCAATCGCAAACCCAATGCTTTAACAAAATTTAGAACAATTGATTGATTAAATTAGGTAAATCCAATTAATTCAAATCTGAAATTAACCTATTCTTTCTATTTAGGATGCAACGAAAATTCCATATCATGAAAAACGTAATTAACCTAATTAGAAAAGAGGAAGGAAAGGAGGAATTCGATAAAACCTATTTTGAAACTCGAATGCAATGTAGTTTTTGAAACCTTGAACCGGTTGATGAATTAGCCTTGCTTCATAATCATGTTGCTCGACCAATTAGAGAAGGGGATGAAGTTTCCGAAAATAAAAGAGAGGAGACGAGAGGAATCCTTACGAAAGCTTTTATTTAAAATTCTGAAAATTAAGGCAAAAAAGAGGGAAGAATATCCCCACGCGAAATCATAAACCCTATTTAAAGACAAAATAATTTGGCTTAATTAAGGCCCAGCTTCCTAACGAGGTTCCTAAAACCCTAATTAAGTAATGTCAACAATAAAACCAAATTCTAAAAAATTTATTGTAGGACCACAACATTGTGACGCAGTTTTGGGCCTGAAGATGTTCGAACTGGGCTTTTCTCGCAACAGAGAAGTTGTAGATCTCTCTCTTATCTTTCCAGGGACACCAATGTTGTCCAATTCCGAGTAGTGTAGCTTCAGATATGGTCTTTTCAAGAAACTGTGTCAAAACAAGAATTTATGGCGGGAATTAAGAAAGATTTAAATTTAAATCCTAAATGACTTACCAACACAAATCTAAACTAACACATCAAAATAATATACTAAAAAGACTCAATTAAATCGAAAACATAGAGAGAAAGATGTATTAAAATATGACTATCATCCAACAAGAACAATTTGTTGGACATCCTTCCAAAGACTCCCACTTGCACATTCAGAATTTTTTGACCATTTGTGGAATGATTAGAATGCTATCCGGTTATTACTGTTTCTATTTTCTTTAAGAGATAAGGCAAAGAGCTGACTATTATCCCAACTGGAAGGAAGTATTACTATTTAGGATGATTTAGAGAGCAAATTTTTGACAAAGTATTTTCCAGCCTTTAGAACAACTAAGTTAAGGCAAGAAATTCTGGCTTTTTCTCAAAGGGAAGATGAAACATTGCAAGAGGCATGAGGCTAATTTAAAGAACTTTTGAGAAGTCGCCCTTATCATAAGCTACCTGAATGGCTTCAATTGAGAACTTTTCATGATGGGCTGAATGTAGCAACAAAGACAATGGTGGATGCAGTAGCTGGAGAATCATTTGCTCAAAAGACTTTGGAAGAAGCACGCCAACTTATTGAAGTTATGGCATCCAATAATTACAATTATAGAGAAAGGAATCTTCAAAAAGAGGTGTGCTAGAGCTGAACACTTTAGAACAAATTGATGTCACAACAACTAAATTCCTTCAATGCAAAACTTGAAAACATGAAGTTAGAAGGGAACAACCTAGTGCACTATGTAGTTTCTATCAGCTAAGAGGAATATCATGAAGAAACTAGTGAAAACAGAGAAGAATTTGTGCAGCACCCTTTTCCTGAACAAGTGAGCTACATGAACAACATACCAAGGTAGCAATAGAATTTTCCTCAGAAGGCACCATGGCAGTAACAACAGAACTTCCAGCAGAGGCCTATATATCTAGCCTCAAATCAACAGAATTTCAGGCCAAATATGAATTTTTTTGTAAGACAATCAACTCCACCTCAATTCTAACAAAGTGGGCAGTATCAACAACAAAATTTTCAGAATTTTGGTGAGAATTTTGGAGCCATCCAACAGCCCCCACAACCCCAAGTTCCAAATCAGGTATCTACCCTTGAGAAGGTACTTTTGCAATTAACGCAGACCACCAACTTGTTTATGCAAGACACAAGCACTAGGATGGCCAACCAAGAAGCTTCCATGAAAAATTTGGAAAACCAAATGGGGCAGACTATTAGAAAAATCAGTGGCGAGGTAGTGGAACCACAAGTTAAGAAAAAATAAGATAAGAAGGAGGACAACTCAAGTTTTAGATAGGCCAGAGATACTGCAGAAAATAAAAATGAGGAGAGTGAGCTTGAACAAGAAAAACCAGAAGAGGAAGTTAGGCCTAAGCAGAAATTGGTGGTGGATGAGACATACTGTAATAAAACCAAGGAACAGATCTTAGAAGACTCGTGCAAGCCTCAAATTCTCCCTCCCTATGTTAAGTTGTCATATTCACACATCCCCAAGAACAAAGAGAAGGAAGAGAAATTTTTCAAATTCTTGGACATTTTCAGAAAGCTGCACATAAATATACCATTTGCAGAAGCATTAGAGCAAATGCCTTCGTATGCCAAATTCATGAAGGACTTGCTTTCAAAGAAGAAGAAATTGAAGGAGGATGCTATAATCGCTCTTACCGATGAATGTAGTGCCATATTGCAGCAAAAGTTGCCTCCAAAGTTAAAAGATCTGGGAAGCTTCACAATCCCTTGCACTATAGGGAATGTGACCATTGGAAAGGCTTTATGCAACTTAAGAGCCAACATCAACTTAATGCCGCTCTCCATCTTGAAGAAATTGGGAGTTAGTGAAGCTAAAAATACAAGAATGGCTTTCCAAATAGCTGATAGATCCATCAAGTACCCGTATGGTATAATGGAGGATGAGTTGGTGAAGGTGGACAAGCTAATTTTTCCAGCATATTTTGTTATCCTGGATATGGATGAAGATTCCGAAGTGTCTGTGATCCTTGGAAGACCTTTTCTAGCCACTGGAAGAGCGCTAATTGATGTGCAACAAAGCCAATTAATTTTGCACCTCCATGATGAGAAAGTTACATTCAAGGTATTTGAGGCAATGCAGCACCCAAATGACAATGATACTTGCTTTAGAATTAATACAATGGATTCACTTATTGCAACAACAACTTTGAAGCATAACACTTATGCAGATCCATTATAAAATGTGGTAGCCAATGCAATTATGAAAATTGATGAGGAGAGTGATGAAGAAATGCAAGAGTGCATGCAATAGCTTGAGGCTCAACCAATTTTGCAGAAAAGTTCAATAAGAGAATCATTAGAAGGAGGAAGAGTGGAAGAATCACGAAGGCTTGAGTTGAAACTTCTTCCTTCACACTTAAAATATCCTTTTGTGGGGGAGAAGAAAACACTTCCTGCGATAAGAAACAACACCCTATCACAGTTAGAAGAAGAGGAGTTATTGAGAGTGATGAAGGAGCAAGTAATAACCAAAAAGGAGTTTCTTAAGTTGTACAAGTTAGAGTTTGGGGCAGGACTCAACCCAATCATCCAACAACCAATTTTATTTATTTATTTAGTTATTTATTATTAAACTAATGTTTTACAGGCTAGAAAAGTGCTGCCTTTTTGTTGTAGCAAATACAATTTAGGTAGCAGGCACACTTCACGTTTATGATTGACTCAATACAGTATTTTCTCTTCACAAGTTTGCCCTTGCTCTATTTTATTCTCCCTTGCTGAAGAGTTTAAGCGCCCATAAAGAAGGAATAGGATCCAACAGGTTTAATATTTAGTTATTTGTTATAATATTTTTATTAGTAATTAAAAAAATTCTAAATAACTATATATTAAATAAAAAATTTAAAAAAAATATTATTATAATAATATTATATTGTTATAATAATATTTAAAAAAGTTACAATAATAATAATATTTTTAAACTTTAGTTTTATATTTGAAAAAGAGGAAGGAAGCCCAGCATTTGGCAGTAACATGCTCAAACTATGTCTTTAAATTCCTCTTGATGCTTATATCACTAGCTAAGCACACCCACTCACCTCACTTTATGTTTTTCTAACGCTCTCCATCTCCGCTATCTCCCTGTGCCCCCCATATTCCTCTTCTGAACCCTAAAATCAATTGTTTAGAGTTTCACAAGGTATGTTTTTTTCTTTTATGCTTTCAACTCTGTTTTTGGGTGCGATTCTTCTTCTCCTTTCTTCTCCATTCATGAATCTGTGTGTTTGTGTTCTCTGTTCCCTTACTCTTTCCCTTGCTTCTACATTTTGTTTTATTTTATTTTATTTTATTTTTATGAGTTTTCTATAGCATGGGTGTTTGATTTTGTTCCTTCACTTGTTCTGAAATGTTGGATCCTTATCCCAAGAATGACGTTAGCTATTGTTGAAAGTGATTTTTCCATTTTAGGGCACAAACTCTCCCCATGTTATTTCTTGAAAAAAAATTTGTGGCTTTATTTTGTGATTTCTTTGCAATTTTTGTGTATGTCTTTGTCTCTGTTTACTACAATTTCTTTAAAAAAAATATTTAAACAACAATGTCCTCTTGTGTTGCTGCTCAGTTTTCAGATTTTACGTAGTTTGCATCTTAGTGTTGATTTTCTAATTTTTCTGAACTTTTGATTTTTCTGGGTGTGAGTTCTGCGATGTATTGAAAAATTTTGAAACTCCATACACTTTGGTCACTGTAAATCTGTTCATGCAAGCTTGCATAATGCATATTATTTTTCTTTATGCATCTGGGTGTTGTAGTTGTGCTCTGTATTTTTTTAAAAAAAATAGATGTACAGTGTTTTAAGATACTAAGTGTTGTAAGTGTAAGTATGTGTGCTGCCACCATAGTCCATAGTATTAATTTTAGTTTCTGCACAAATTCTGTGATAAATTGAAATTTTTATGTGCTTATATGATCTCTTTTTCTGAGAAATTTCAATTTTTATGGACATTGGTTGCATTTTCTGTTTGAAAAATTATACTGCACTTTGGGATATAAGCAATTCACTGTCTCCTTGGCTGATTGTTGTGTTAACTTCATGGTTGTAGACTTCATTGAGTAACCCAATTGTTATTTTGAAACTTCATGTTGCCTTGCTTTTTGTTGTTCGGTACCCTTTTATTGCAGAACTTATTCATTGCCAATTTTTCTATCACACGCAATTGTCATATATGATGTTATTTTTTTTATATACTATTCCCCTTGTGTGAATTTCTGAAATTGGTCTTACTCATTGTTTATACAATATGCACAAATTCTTGATAGCTTTCTTCTCTTTTGATGCATTTTCAGTTTTACCTAAAAGTTCATTAATGTTCTCAGCTTTAAACAATTTTTGAGGCATATTATTATTTTAATTCAATGGGTGCTGTAGATACTAAAAAATTTCAATGATATATGATAAATTGACAGCATACCAATGGCAACACCAAACCAGTGCATTTTTTGTCACTTTTATTGAGTTATGCCTTTCATATCTTATGAATTTTTGCACAACAATGTTTTAAATCTATTCTGAAATTTTTTTTGTGTAGTCCTCTAAGTTTTGTTCATTGTCACTAATTCTTGAACATGGTTTTAACAGTGATACAATTTATTTTATGTGGTTTATTTACTTTGCTGTGAATTTCTCCCTTGTACAAATTTTATTTGAATTTTTAAATTGGTCATTGTCAAATTTTTGGGAATGTATGTTACCTGTGCATGTTAATTTTCTGGGAATGAGAGTGCAAATTTTTTTTATTTGTAATAAGCAGTGTATGCACAACACACTATGTTTTCTCTTTCACATACTCTTTCCATTGTTGCATTTCCTATTAACTATGGTTGTCATATTTTGATTCCAGGCTGCAAATTATTTTGAGTGACCAAATTTCTATTCTAAATTTTTTTTGAAACTCATTGTCCTTTAGTGTTGTTAAATTTGACTCTACAAGTTTTATCTTAGTTTTGATGAAGTGCTGCCTATTTGTTACTTCTTAGTGCTAAAATTTAGTTCATACACAATTGCCATAGACATTTTTTATTATTTTGCTGCACAATTTTTCAGCACACCATAGGTTCCCTTTTTAATGCAATTCATTTTTACCATGAGTATTCACAGTTTTGTAGCACTTGAATGCACAATGTTTTTAATTTCTGAGTGTTGTAAGTGTAAGTATATATGTTGTTGCTGCATAATTTTGTTATAAATTGCAATTTATACATGCTTTTATGGTCCTTTATCAATTTTGATATACATTGGCTGCACTTCTCTTTTTGAACAATCAGGCTTGGATTTTTCATTGCTATAAATTTTGTTTTGTGCAACATGTATTCTTAACTATTACTTCATTTTTCTAGCTGCAAAATTCTGTCTTGCTCAATAATTCTTTCTTCATTATGCAACCTGCAATTTGCACAACAAATTTCTTCATTTTTATGCAGTTTATATGCATATGTGTTTGCAGTCATTTCTATTCTAAACAGTCCAAGTATTTTAACAAAGAAAGCAAGAGGCAAGTCCCACACCTCAACTTGATTCACATGCACAAAGAAGTCTCTTTTTACTCTCCCTAATTGTGTTCTGTTCTCTGAAATGTGATCCTAACTGTATAAATCTTGCATCTCTCTTGTGTACCACATTGTTTGTGAATTCACACAATTTTTGAACATTGTTAACCACCATGATTGTTTTAAATTTCAAAAATTGCCATGGTAAGCATTGAACTTAATTTTTCTTGATGAGAGTATGCGTGCTGGATTCTAAAATTCTTTGCATGATTTGTCACTTTTCTTATCCTCTCCCCATGCATTGATGTTCTAAAATGATTGAGGCCATTATTGTGTCTAACTACTTTTAACTAAAATGTCATGCCTTCATTCAACACTTGTTAGCCCTTTTTGAGCTTGGCCAAATTTTTCTCTCACCTCTACACTACCACCAACCATGCCCAAACACTTGTCCCTCCTTATAACTTAGAAAGCATGAACACTAATTTGGATAACTTAGCAAATTCTAAGTTTGGGGTTTCTATTAGAAATTGCTTGAGGACAAGCAATTCTTTTAAGTTTAGGGTCAAGAAATTGTATATAGGTGTATAATTATATATTTTGAGAGAGCCATTTTGGTCAATTGCTGCAGTTAGTAAGTATTCAAATTGAGTACCATTCAATTTACTTCAAAAAAAAAAAAGAAGAAGAAAGAAAATAAAAAAGAAAAAAATAGAAAACAAAAACAGAATGAAAAGAGAAATCTAAAATAAAGATTTAAGTATTGTAGCAGTCAATTAAGAAAGTTGAAAAATACCCAATGGAGGAGTGCAAATAGTTTTTCAATTTCTTAGATTTTCTAAGTTATCCCTCATACTTTCTTTGATATAGTGATCAACCAGCAGCCAAAACAAATTTTCCACCTGGAGTCTGACTAAGTTTTAACTCTTAATAAGTCCTCTTGATTATAACTAATTGCATGAATAGATGTGAGCTAGAAATTTGTCAAATCTAGGTCAAGGAATAACAGCAAATGCATTGAAGAAAGTTAAACACAAGCTGATATATTGAAGAGAGTATGGAGTGAAACAGTAATCCTGAGAGGAAGTTTAATTCAATCCTTGATGTCAAGAAAATTGATGTTTGCTTGTGATTTTCAAAAATTTATTTTGTTGTTGCAAGAGAGAAAAAGGGGACAGTTTACTATAATTCTAAATTCTATTCATGTAAAAAAAGAAAAGAATTTGGTTGTGGATAAGCAAACATTTAAGTTTGGGGTTGTGATGAGTCACTAACTCATCTAGAAAATTAAAAGTTTTTAGGCATATTTTATTGAATTTAAATTATAAGTTAATACAATTAATTGAGAAATTCAATAGAATGTTGTATTTGCTGAAAAATTTATAAATCACTCGTATTCTGATAGCTAACAATTTTATTTTAGAGGTATTAGAAAGAAAATTTCAATTAAACTTAAAGAGTTATAGTTGAGTGTTGGACTTATTTGTGGAGATACAAATTTCTGATTGTGAAAACACAATACTGATTAAGCATATAAAAACGAAAATATTTTGAAAAGGCAACATCTTGGAACTAAAAATCATGTAGCATAAAAATTGAAAACTCTCCTATAGTCTCAAGTTATTGTTTAAATTTACAATTAATAAATTATCAAAACTTGGCAACATCTAGCCTGTTGGTGTCTTTGCAAAATAGAGCACGATTTTTAAAGTAAAATTAACGGCTATAAGCAAGTCTAGCACAAATTATGAAACACGTTGACTGACAGTGAGTTAAGTGGATGTTTAAATTTATGCTTGATATTCATGTTTATTGTAATGTTATTAATTGCAACTTGTAAGTTAACGCAATTTTAAAGCATGTTAAAATGCAGTTCTAAATATGGTATTATTTTTCAATTCAGATAAAATCAATTTTGCTGCTTTTACAAGCGGACCCATAGTTGTTCTAAAAATCGTTTTCAACGACCTAACATTCTTCTTTTCTCTCCCTCCCCACCACGAAATTGCATTTCTAAGAATGATATTTTGCCATACTCTAACGGCTATTTGTTTTTATAATTTCCACTTCGTAGCTAACGATCATTTAAATCTGATATTTATTTGTAACATTTTGATTCTAACTGGATTAACTTTATTCTTCAATTTATATATAATTTGAGATATAATATAAAAATCCAAAAGTTTAATGTTTGTCCTACTGTACAAGTATTTTTTTTCATCATTCAAACTAAAAAAAGAAAAAACTGGGCTTGGGCTTGGGCTTGGAGGACCCGGAAGACCTTGACCCAACACTACCCTCTACTTACACTGCTCAGCTTGCCAACTAGCAGCATCATCGGCTTTCCTTGATATTTAAAACTTTAGAGGCATATTCGGTGAGAACTCCTTCAGAGTATGATTACTCACTCTTCAGTTAATCCACACACGCAAAATATATTGTCCTTTTTAGTTTCAATATATACCACAACTGACATCACTTCATTATTCGGCGCTGTCAAATCATCAATATAAACTTTTATGGTCAGCAAAGCAATTGCAATCGTTTATCGATTATGATAAGGCTTAAAAAGTTAAAGTGATCGATGAAATATCCACCGGCTTTTTGAATACCATTAATTGTGTATTATTAGTTAACGGAGATCTATCGCGTGTGAAACTGGTTGCAAAACTAGCAGGAGGGAAATAAAACAGTCTGAAGTCTATTAAATTAGGTAGGCAATAGTTGAATGAAACCTAGTGCCAGAAAGGTCATATTCATCAATGATTAGAACGCTGTACACTGGAAGAATTACATAAGGCAAACGTTATCTCTCCCTTGCAACATTTCTCCCAGGTCACAAACAGCCCAACACCAACCAAACACAAGGTCCCAGCCATCATCAATTTCCAGCTGGACAAACCCAACATTTTGTTCGCGAAATTCAAATATATATAAAACTATATAAATATAAGTTATAACCACTAGCCAATCAAGACACACCCAATCAAGACACACCCCTCTTCGAGTGAGTAATGAACCTATGATCAACCCCAATTAATCGAAATTGGGGTTCCAACCACGTGCTTCCCATCAGACCATTCCAACCGCCCAAAAGCATTCACCTTCTGTTGGGGCGAACCCGAGGAAGTAAAGGTAACGGTAAAACTTTTCTTCTCGTTCTCCTTGAAACTCAACACTTGCGGTTCAACCGAGATTTTCACGGACGGTGTATCTGACGTCATGGAAACCTTGTACGTTCCCGCGGGCCCCACGTTAGTGAGAATTCGCGCGTGTTTAACTACGCTGGACCCACTGTCAAACACCACCGCAAATGAAGGGTAATTAAGCTCAGTCACACTGTATTGCTTGCTCGCGTTGCACTGGAATTTTCTCTTTGCCAGTGTTGCGATTTCAGAGGCTGTGTAGTTCAGTGCACAGAGGAAGCCTAGGTAATCATCCACCGTCAGATCATACACCAGTCCCGGATTAAGGGCAGCTACGGGATCCACGTGTCCAGCTCCGTGATCGAACGGTGTGGATGGTTTCCCCGAAGCACTGTCCTGCAATTTCTGACCGTTTCTGTAAGCCGTATAAGCCGTTGTCATAAGAGCCGATCGAATCGCGGCTGGGCTCCACTCCGGGTGAGCCGATTTTATCAACGCGGCTAGACCACTCACGTGAGGGCAGGACATGGACGTGCCTGAAATGATGTTGAAATCCACGCGCCTTTCATCAACGGTTAGCCCGGTGGGACCCACGGCCCTGGACCACCCTGCTAAGATGTTGACACCTGGCGCGATCAGGTCGGGTTTCAGGATCTGCGGGACGATTGAGTTCGGGCCTCGAGAGCTAAACGCTGCAACCACCGGAGATGGCTGAATTCCCACCTTAGTTCCCTCAAACAAAATCTTCACCGTCGGTTTCATGTCAGAAAACAGATACTTTTTGATGGCATCGCCGGCTCTTTCACCCACCGCCGTCGCCGGCAAAAGATGAGCGTCGGCAACCAGTTCTTCGCCGTTAGCGGCGGTGTTGCTCAGCACCATGCCCAAACCTCCGGCGGATTTCACCACCGCCCCTTTCTGAACCCTGGCGGTCAATCCACGGTCGCACAACACAATCTTTCCGGCGACTTTCTCCGGCGTCAAGGTGCCCGTCACGCACAAATTACCGTTGGTGGCGTTACTAGCATTCCCTGCGTAAACAAATGGCAAAGGAGAATCGGGTAAAGCATTGCCACGGTAGAGTGACACACCAGAGTAGTTAAGTCCATTTCCGAGGCTAACATAAGCCGGGAAGTCACGATCCAGAGTGCCAGCGCCCACGGTAGTGATCCACGGTGCCACATTGGAGAGACTATAGGGACTGGGACCCGCGTTCCCAGCGGAGCAAGACACAAGAATCCCTTTCTCCATTGCCGCAAAAGCTCCAATAGCGACACTGTCTCTGTAAAAATCAGCCATTCCACCACCGAGCGATAAAGACATCATATTAACGTTGTCCGAAATTGCCCTTTCGATCGCAGCCAAAATGTCGGAGCTGAAACACCCTCCGGCCCAGCAAACCTTGTAAGCAGCGACTCTAGCGTGCGTGGCCATCCCACGCGCCGTCCCAGCCGCGTAGCCGAATAAGCTGGCGCCCGAAACCACCGAACCCGCGGCTGTGCTCGCGGTATGAGTTCCGTGGCCATCGTCGTCACGCGGAGATTTAGACTCTTTGGTTTCATCGATTGGACCCAACATGGCCTCACAACCCTTTGAAAAGAACCTTGCTCCTATCAACTTTCTGTTACAGTTGGAAGCGGTGAAATTTGTACCCGTTTCGCACTCGCCTTTCCAGCCACTGGGAATGGGTCCGAGTCCAGTGTCGTCAAAGCTCTTGCTTTCGGGCCAAACACCAGTGTCGAGGACTCCAATGATAACATCGCTCCCTGAACTTGCCTCAGGGAACATGTCGGCGCTCTTGTCCAGTCCAAGAAACTGAGGTGTCCTCGTTGTGTGAAGCTCGTATCTTAACTCAGGCAACACCGCTAGAATCCCCGTTTGGCTCTCAAGCAAACGTGCTTCTTCCTCCGTTAATCTCGTGGCGTATCCGTGGATCGCGCTGTCGTAGGTGTACAGCATTTCTGCTGTGTCGGACACGGATTTCAGAGACGACTCGTACCACTGTGTGTGGTGGTCGAAGCTTTCCGGCATTTCGGATTTTGCCACGTGTACTATGTAAGTGCTCTTCTGGTTCTCCGTTGCCGCTAGGGACACATCATAGAGACCCAGAAACAGAAAGGAGAGAATTATCAGAAGGAAAGATTTTAGAAACGAACCCATGTTTCTTTCTCACCCTCTCGATTAGGAAATGAGAGTGAGATAGGGGAATGGAAATAGAGAAGTGGGCTTTATGGAGGGCGGTTTTTAATGCAGTTTGTGCCAGTTGCAAACCAAAGTGTGCGAGGAAAAAGTAAGGAAGTTCGGTGGGTGGTTGTCTGGATCTCAAAATAATTGCGTTGAGACAAAAAAAAGAGAAGAAAGAGAGTGGGGATATGAACACCTCAATTAGACTCTGAAGATACTGTAATTGGATTTTCACTCACATGAGCGTTTCCGTCCGTTCTCCATTACGACCCTATCTCTACTCTGAGTGCGCTCTCTTTCCTATTTTATTTTTCTTATTGCTTTTGCTTTTCTGTTTCTTGCATAGGCTTTTTAACAGGGACCTAGCAGGCCCTCCATCACATAACCCCATAACTTTTCATACACCAATCCTTGACCTACTACCTTCAATTCTCAACTGCGTCTCTTTGCCGATATTTTTTTTTCCCAATATCTTCCCTCTGTAGCATGATGCTACGCATGCTTCATTTATTAATGTATAAAAACCATATCAACGTTTTCATAGAAAAATTAAAATATCACCATTTATAATCTACAGCAAAATTAAAAAACATTACCCTTCCACTTTTTATTAAAAAGATAATATATGTCTTTATATCTTTAATGCTAAATATTTGTAATAACAAAATTATTTTTATATAATTAAATCCAATTCTTAAAATTAAGATACCAAGATCAATAAAAAAATTGCCGATGTTTTCAAATATTTATATTTTTAATATAATAATAAAAATTTATAGTATTGTTTTTAAACACAATTTAAAATGGTGCATGCAGACAGTGGGAAAGTGAAGATAAGGTGAAGGCGCAAAAATAATTGTAAATTGCGCATTTATATTCACGGGTATATTAATTTGCAGTGGACATTAGACAATGTTCACTTTACCTTATTAAATGCGATTGCGAGATAATTTAGTTTTATTTAGTTTTGGAGCTTATCGTTCCTCCGTCTATACCTGCCAACCAACCAAGTTTTCCTTTTCTTTTGCAGTTGCTCCTCTGATAAGAAACTCGGGTGTCACGGATTACCAAAAGGAAGAAATTTCAGTCACGGGTTTACTTCTGTTCTGGGAATTTACGAGAATTGACAAGGGAGAACGACATTATCTAAAAACAATTAATTTTACGTAACTTAATCAATTATTTTAAAAAAAAGTATTTGTCTTTTTTAATAAATATCTTTAGTTATATTATATATATATATATATATACACAGAGATAGAGAAGGAGTATAAGGATTTGAGGAAAAATATAATATAATATAATAAAAACTAAGATATGAGAAACATTCACACATTTTTTTAAAGAAATTTACTTTTATCTTTTTAATCTCAATTTTTATAGTTAATGTTAATCAAAAGTTTGTTGAAATTATGAATGAAATTGGAAAGCTCGTGGAAAAGTTTAGTTTATTGTAATAATATTATAGTTTTAATGACAGTTAAATATTTAATTAACTAATTTTTAATATAGTATAGTATAATTTTAATGCAATGTGTTTGTGTGTTGTTTCTTTACACTAAAACTGTTATTATTTTTCAATTTAATTCAGATGTAGTAGATAATTTATTATTAAAGATTTTTTTTATATATATAAAAACTCAAACTCAAAATCTTATGTGACTAATATATTTCTTGAACTAATCTCCATTAATAACTAAGTGTTAATTTATGTATTTAGTGTAACATTTATATCATTATTATTTCAACAAATATTGTGATAAATAAATTAAATTAATGATAATATTTATTAAAAGTTATATTTAATTTATCAAATAAATAATAATTTTAAAATATTCACATCTTACTTTTGATATTATTATAAACTAAGTGTGCTTTTTATTTTGTATAGGAACACAAAAGAATTACTATTTTTTAATATTAAAGGCTCATTTTGGATGAGATGTAAAATAAAGAAAAAAATAGGACAATAAAATGTAAAATAAAAATAAAGTAAAAAATTTAATTAGATTAATTTAAATAAAAAGAAAAAATATTTTATTTGTTTAAATGAACAAAAATAATATTTGAATTATATTTAAAACATTTTTAAAAAATTTAAATTAATTTGGATTTTTAAATTTATATTATTTTAACATTTGAAAAGAACGAAATTAAAAAATTAATGCTTCTGCTGCCACTTCCCTCCCACTCCCTCTTTCCTTCCTTTCAAATTGGAAATTTCTTTCGGTAGGATAAAAAAACTCATCGCTTTTCCTCGTGTTATCCAATCCAAAGTTAAAAAAAATAATTAAATAATAATAATAATAAAAAAAAAAAACAATAAACTTTCTTCCCTCTACTCGGACTTCACAGCATCCAATTCCAAACAGGAAAATAAATGACGGACACACATACGTTGAAGGAGCAGTGGAAAAATCACGTGCATTCGAGTCATTATTATTTTTTTCCTGACCAAAAAGGTCATTATATTTTATCAATTTTTAATATTATAAATTTAAATTTTAAAATGACTTTTTTCTTATTTTTTATCAAATTTTGAGAATTTTTAAATATAAATATATAATTTTTTTATAATTTTTTAATATTATTATTATTATTATATTAAAGATATAATGTTTAGACAATTAAATTTACGATTATTTTAAATTTAGTAAATCATAATTTAAACTTAGTTTTTAAATCGTAAATTTGAGATATATTTGTCTTATTCAAATATTTGTAGAATAATTTCTTTAATTTTAAATTTTTATTTTTATCTAATAAAATATTAATTAATGATAATACAAATATCTACTATTTCTTTAATTAAGTTTTATTTATAAATTTTATTATTATACTCATATAATGTACGAAAAACTTGCTAGTAATAACATTTATTGAATTTATAAAAGACATAAATTTTTAAGTATGATAATGAAAATTGTAATGTAGGACATGTTTCGAATCAAATAATTTTTAAAAGTTAATACTTTTTTATAAAGTACTAATATTAAGATAGTTTTTTTAAAAAAATCAAACTGAATTAAGTACATACTTATGATAAAAAAAAAAAAGTGAGAACAAAATTGTTTACTTAATACATAAGATTTTATAAAAAAAAATTAAAATTCTCTGTTTTTTAATAAAGCTTGCTATTACTTTTTGGTAACGGGATGTCTTAGGTCAATACGGACACGGAAAGTGGAATTTGATATTCCAATGCAATCATTAAACAACGCGGAACACGGCTTAACAAAGAGTCACTCTAGCTTATTTTAAAAAATTTGAGGAGTTTTTTCTAACGTACATTTATTTATTATATTTTTTATTTATTTTTAATAAACTGAATCAGTCAGATTTTAAATTAAGTTTCACATCGATAAATACTGATAGTAAAATTAGGTATGATATATTAAATTAAGATAAATTATTATTTAAAGATAATTTAAAAAATTTACAAATAACTAATTTTTACTGTTTTATTAATTTATGTAATTTGATTGAAAATATTTAAAAAATAAAACAAATAATGAATTAATCGTACGTCATAATTTCTATGCACGTGTGGGGACATTTTCTAATACACATAAAGATAAAACAGATTATGATAGTATTAATTTCATCCCTGAGATTATCTTCAATCGCGCAGAAAGAACTGGCAAGAGCGTCGCTTTGTGGCATAGAGAATGGAAATGTTTTGTGCTTCGATACTTCATTCATTGTCAGTCATTCACGGGTCATGTTTGCAATCTTGACGTGTTTTCTCAGTGCCTTCGTGGTTACGCACTAACAAGGAGAACCACCCCACAAGTACTTACTTGCATCATGTTACGTATTATCCATTTGAGATGGCATTAATCTCTGATTTTCATCATGTTACGTATTATCATATATACACACACATATATTCATTACGGCTTGCTTGCTTTAACTGGATTCACAAAAAGAGGTTCATAATGATTTTTTTTTAAATAATATATGAACAAATTAGCCTTTTCATGTTAGTTATAATTGCATGGCTCCAGACCACTCGATGTTGAGCTTTCTAAATTTCAATGTTTGATTATGACCTAGTTGATTTTTGTGCTTTTCTATTGCAACTGATTGCGACTATGTCAGCTATATTCTATATTTTCAAGATTTTACTGAACACTATAGTTAAATATGTGTCTTGGCATTTGCCTACAAATCTCTTCTCAGTTCTAGGACCAAAATACTTCTATCCTATTTACAATTTAATTAACAAAATTTATATGGATCTTGTAAGGGGTGCGTAGTATGCCTTCTCCATTAAGGAGTTTACCATCATAGTTTGCAGCATTGGGCTACCCTATTTTATTAAAGAACCATTGTATGTGTATACAAGATAATTAATATTATCATTAAAGATATGTTTAGAAGGCTGATGAAACAGAAAGGAAAATAAATAAATTGAGTAAAAAATAGGGCATTTTTATTTAAATAATGTTAATTAAAAAACAAATTCTTAAGTTAGGGTATATTTGAAACAATTTTCCTGTCTGGGGTGGAGCCTCCAATGTGGCAAGTACGTTTCGCCAAAAGGATTGGCGAAATTATATTTTTTTAATAAATTTTGCCAACAGAACAGCGAAATTAATTAAAAAAGTGACACATGTCACACTGTGGTTATTTCACAAAAGTCATGGCGAAAATATTTATTATTTTTGCCACCATTTTAGTGAAACTGGGGCTCTACCATGTGTCAAGATCTGGTGAATATTTCATAAAACCAATAGCAAAATTGTTAATAATTTTCGCCACCAAATTAGCGAAACAGGGGGGCACATGTTAAAATCTGGGAAATTTTTCACAAAAGTAATGGCGAAAGTCATTGTTATTTTCGCCACCAGATTAGCGAAATAGGAGGGTACGTGTCAAAATCTGGGAAAATTTTTGCAAAAGTAATAGCGAAATTTATTGTTATTTTTGCCACAAAATTAGCGAAAAGAAGGGAGAATTTCGCCACTCCCCTGGCGAAAAACTTTCCAAATCCGCAAATGATTTGGCAAAACCATCACTATATATACGTTTGTGTGCTCACCGAGATTCATTTACCTTTGAAAGAAGAGGAAGCGAAAGACTAATTTTTCTTTGAAGGAGGTAGCAAAAAAAATTCAGGTTAGTTTTATTTAATAAATTTGAACGTTTTATTTTAAAAATTAATTTTATATTTGGTATTGTAAAATTTTCTAATTATGATATTTGTTATTGTTTAGTTAATGAATGAGAGTATCAAATTGTTTATAATTTGTTTAAAAATAAATGTTAAATAAAGTTTATTTGTAAAAATACAGGATGAGTGAGATTATTATTCTTATATATTGGAATGGTAGAATATATGAAGGAAATGAAGGAGTGAGCTTTGAAGGAAGTAAGAAAGTGATTTAGAGAAAACGAAGAATAAGTTTTGAAGCGTTGAAAAGAAAGATTCGTTTGAAACTTAATCTTAATCATAATTAAGTGATATCTAGATTAATTTCTCTTTTTTGATTGATGAAAATATTAGACAGTATACAACTTTGGATATATGTGATGATGAAGATATTGATTGCATGATAAGTGCATTTCAACAGCAATCTGATAGAAATGTTATTGAGTTGTATGTAGATATTACTGTTGGTGGAAGTTCATCAGTGCCATTGCAGATGATGAATTTAAATTTATCAATTTCATAACAAAATGATAACACTCTTGTGAGTCATGATCGTAATGAAGGTAAAATTTATTATATTGTAATATTTTATTATTAATATATGTAATTATTTTTATTAAAAGTTATATTTTTTGCTATAAAAGAGTTAGAAATGATGTTGATGAAGATAATGAAGACTCAGATTATGATAATTACACCGATGGAGATGATGAAACAGAAATTTGTTATAGCAGTTCTTTTTCTACTGATGTTGAAAGGGAGTTTCATTCCAACTTAAATATACAAGAATGCGAAAATTTAGGAGGTAATATGAAATATTGTAAAATAGAATGAATTTTTAGTTTGATTGATAAATATTAATGCTAAAGATTTTTGCAAAAAATAATGCAGGGATACTGTAATTCCTTTTTGGAATGTTACTCCGCAGTATAAGTATATTAATTGAGAATATCCTGATGAAGAAATGAATGAACAGTAATGTGAAGAAGTCAATTCATGGGTTGAAGGAGATCCTTTATTCGTTGGGTTGTTATTTGACAGTAAAAAAGAAGTGAAAAATGCATTAAAACATTACGCAATGAAGATTCATCGAAGTTATTTTGTGGCTGAGTCAAAACCAACATGTTTGTATGTTAAATGCTTAAACCATACATCCAGTTGTCCATGGAGAGTGAAGGCTTCATTGGTGAAGAATTTGTCCAAGTAGAAAATTACGAGGTGGGGTGGTTCACATACATGTGTTAATGTTAGCATTTCTCAAGATCATCAAAAGTTAGATTATGATTTAATTTGTTCATGCATCCTTGGTAAGACAAATATTTTGTATATGTTTTTTTATTTTTTTACAATTACATTGTTATTAACTAAACGAATTAGATTTTATGTAAGAATGGTGAATGAAGAACCGTCGATACAAAATTTATTGCTTCAAGAGCGAATTTGTGCTCAGTTTAGATACAAAATTTCATTTAAAAAAGCTTGAAAGGCGAAGCAAAAAGCCATTGTAAAAGTTTTTGGTGACTGGGAAGAACCATATGCTGTCTTGCCACATTAGTTAGATTACATGCAATTACATGCTCCTAGATCTGTTTATAAAATTGAAACGACAGAGTATGTGGCTGGTCATCAAGTAGATAACAGGTTTAGAGTATTTGAACGAGTTTTTTGGTCATTTAAACAATGTCAAGAAGCTTTTAAATTCTGCAAACCTATATTACAAGTGGATGAGACGTTCTTATATGGTAAGTATCATCATACGTTGCTCATTGCAACAACTCAAGATGGAAACAATTGTGTACTTCCAATAGCTTTTGCAATTGTTGAAGGAGAAACCTTGTCAGCATGGGAATGCTTTTTGTCAATGATTCGTTTGCACGTTACTAATAAGTCAGGGATTTGTTTAATATCAGATAGGCATCAAAGTATAAAAGGAGCTGTCGCAAATTCACACATTGGGTGGCAACCTCCAAATGCATATCATGTATATTGTATTCGTCATATTGCCAGCAACTTTAATCACCGATTTAAAAATATAGCCTTGAAGAAAGAGCTCATCAAATTAGGTATGTAATGGTTCTTTTACGTATTAATATTTATGTTACACTTAATTGAATGGTTAGCCACATTGATGTAAGGTTTTGTAATGTTCTATGTGTAGGTTATACACCATCGAAGGTAATATTTCACCAAAAGTTAAGTAGATTTCATAATGAATCTGAAGATATACAAAGGTGGATTGATTGCATATTAAAAGAGAAATGGGCATTATGTTATGATGAGGATGGGCGACGTTATGGTCACATGACCACAAATCTTTCAGAAGCTGTGAATAAAGTGTTCAAAGGTGCTAAAAATTTACCTATAACTGCCCTTGTTAAAGCCACGTATGGATGTTTGGTTGAATATTTCATGAAATATGGAGAAGAAGTCATATCTGACCTTCAAAATGGAAGCATGTTTTATAATAAAGTCATGTTGCAAATTCAAAAAAATCAACAAGAGGCTTCATCACACCAAGTTCATAGGTATGACATACAAAGAAAAAGTTTTGAGGTTGAAGAAGCATTTAATCCAATTACACAAAGGGGTGGACATAAATTGACAGTTATATTAGTAGGAGATTTTGCGAGTGTGGAAGATTTCAACCCTATCGATTTCCTTGTTCTCATGTGATAGCGGCCTGTATAGTTGTAAGTATTGATTTTTGGCAATATGTGGATCCAATTTATTCAATGCAATTTGTTGTCAATGCATACTCCCAACAGTGATGCCCCCTTGGTAATAAATGCAACATCCTTACAAATAATGAATGGAAGTTAGTGCCTGACGTTGAAAGAGCTAGAAGTAAGGGGCGACCGAAGTCAACTCATATTAGGAATGAAATGGACTTGGTTGAGTCACAAACTAGACAAAGGTGTTCGCGTTGTAACGAAGTTGGTCATAATCGACGTCATTGTCCTCAATAAAGCAATGTTGTTTAACGATATTTTATGCATAATTGATGTAATGTAAGTGTTAAAAATGGGTAACGAGATTAGAATTTATCATAAATGCTCTCAAGTAGTATATAGAAATAATGTATACCAAAGTGCTAACAGTTAAACGATACTTTAAATACAACAAGTAAACAACTCATAGCTGTTTCTCCCTATGTGCATGATGATCGTGATCCTGTGGAGTCAATATGCATTGTCTCTGTCTATCTCGAGCTCCTCTATGGGGGTTTCAACGAATCTCTTTGACATCAGCAATAACACCAAACTCAGCATTCAGATCAATACCTGAATCCATAGGGCTCACGAAGAATGGTATAGGGTCTACCTTTACGTATGGTGCACCAGGAGTCAAAAGGGAATGGTGATCGTGAGGAGGTGTCATAAAGAAATCAGGTCATGGGCTATAGTCTTCTGATCCAGTAAACAGTGACAGTGGAGGTTGTGATGGCTGATGAGAACCCTGTGATGAATGAAAATAAGTGGGGGCAACCAACAAATGCAATGTCTAGAAAGGGAACTGTGATGGTATGGGGAATACACCATCAGGGCGCTTTGGTATAGCTGGCACAGACTACTCTGCTGCCTGCAATTGTTGACGTCGACGTGCCAAACCCCTTCCTTCTCTTCGTTGTCGCGGCTGGTCTATGTGTAAGACTGGATCTATTGAATTACCACTCTGCACTGGAGGATCTGAAGATGAAACAGGCTCTAATATGCGATCCTGCTCTTTCTTTAAAACTAAGAGAGTTTCAGACAAGTCCTTTAATTCCTCAAAGGTAAAGGCATCTTGTCCATTAGTGCTTAAGTAGTGCAATCTCTCCATAGCATCACCCTGAAAATGATTAGCATGTTAATGCATATGTATATTTGTATATAAAAAATTATCTCAAACATGAAATCAAATAACAACATACCCTAATAGCAGATATGGCTACATCCTTGCTCATCCAACGACGAGTGTGACTAACATGCCATCACATGTATTCTGAATTAAAACTCAGTAATCCATACTGGATCTCATTAGTCATGACCCACAGTCGTCTACTCTCCCAAATCTCTAACATAACACTGAATTTGGCTAACCAATCCTCTCCAGTCTTTCCTCTAAGGGTAAGGTCATGAAGCTGGTCAGGCTGGTAAGGAGCTCTTGGTATGTGTTGAACCATATCAAACTGACGCATTACTCGGTCAGGTTGATGCCACTCACAAACCTAAAAACATATCAGTGGCACAACTGCCCTCCATAAATCCATACCGTCTCTACAAATGGGTGGAAGCATGTTGATGAGTTCCAGGTTGTAAGGCATCCATACAATCTATACGAAGGAATAAAAATACGATCAAAACCATATTAATAATATTAATTTAAACAACTATCTCAGCTAATAATTAGGCTCTATTACCTCATCATGTGCTAGACGATCAAAGATATATCAGTAGAACTGTACATCTTTCTTCCTCTTTCTTGTTCCTTCTTATACCCATCTGCAAGTTATGTTTAACAGAAATATTAGTGTTTCGATAAATAACATTACATATAATATATGCATAGACAGACAGTAACATTACATATAAACTTACCTGACACCATAGGGAAGATAGAGACGTGTATGGGGGGATTACTAGGTGCTATTTGAGGAAATTTATCCCAAGCCCACATCACAATCAACCCAGCAAGTCCTCCTATAGCAACACGGTCAATGTTGGTAGCCAAGCATAGCTCTAGGTACAAATAACCTAGAATTGCAGAACCCCAACTATATTGACCAGTCACCTCAAAATCTTCAAGTAAAGGCAAATACATCACAGATACCCTGCTACTAGAGTGATCAGGAAGCATGAACCCTCCAATGAGCCTCAATATATATGCCCTAGCAAATCGAGTTATCTGAAGCTAACTGTGATTATGCATAGCAATATGACTAAAGTGCTCGTCTAACCAGCTCATCTTCAAAAAACTCCCTACAAAATGCTTAGGTCCTGGTCTGATACCAAGGCTATCTTCCACAATCTGCGCCCAATCACCTCCAGTGGGTGTTATAACTGGTCTCTCATCTATGCGTAATCCTAATAGGATAGCAACATCCTGAAGAGTAATAGTACACTCTCCAAGGGGCATGTGGAATGTATGTGTCTCATGCCTCCACCTCTCCACTAATGCAGTAATCAATCTCACGTCTGTGGAAAACTGGGACAAGTTAGCCATTCTAATAAACTCTGCTAACTCCAGATGCAGAACAATTTCTTCAGGAACACCCTCTAATCCACTAGGAATATTTTGACTCTTCCTGACCCTCAATATCGGGTAATTACGTTCATCCCAAATATGCTTAGAAACATGAATACTTTGAAACCGAAGAAGTGATGAATCTTCTGAGCCAGAATTAATAACCCTACTCTGTCGTAAAGATGATGTCATCTATACAAGAAAAAACATATTAGTACTACTAATTTTTCATTTCAATAATACTAATTTATAATTTTCTAACATAATTTAAAATACATACTTTATATTACATTTACATTAAAAAATATTTTTCAATCACTAATGTTATAAGTCCATCTAAATTATAATACATATTACTATTATATATGTATTATAATTATTGTAATTATTTTTCATATAATATTATACTTACTAAAATTTATATAAATAATTTGTAAAAATTAATTATTACAATTACACTAAATAAAAGAATGTTTATACTAAAATTTATATTAATAATATTACGTTTTTTTAATAAAAAAATGCTCTTATAATTTACATATAATTTATTTTTAAAATTTCTTTTATTAGTTTTTAAAAGTTATTTTATCATATATTCATTTTAAATCTACAATAATTGTATATTAACAAAATCTAAATATCTAAATTACACTCAAATTAATAAATGGGTGTAAAAATTATTTATTACAATTATACTAAATAAAAGAATGTTTATACTAAAATTTATATTAATAATATTACGTTTTTTAATAAAAAAAACTCTTATAATTTATTTTTAAAATTTATTTTATTAATTTTTAAAAGTTATTTTATCATATATTTATTTTAAATCTACAATAATTGTATATTAAAAAAATATAAATCTCTAAATTCTATTTTAAATAATTACAATTTATACATAACTTCATACAATTTTTACATTATACTTAAATTATTAATTAAATGTAAAATTTATTTATTACAATGAAACTAAATATAAATCATTATATAATTATAGAATTATATTATTTTATTTAACTAATTTTGTATTTTTCCTATTCTTATAATATATAACAAATATAATATGATTAATATTATTATACAAACATATTATATACAATTAAATTTAAATAATGTTTATTACACATATATTTATAATATTACATTTTAAAAACATGTTACAAAATAATAAAAAAATATTTTAAAATATAAAATTTTATTACTAGTCTTAATAAACCTTCAGCCTAATTTTTTTTATCACACTTCACCATTTCACCCACCTTCATAAAATTAAAAAAATTCTAGATTTAATTTTTTTCAAACTCTCAGATTTTTAAATAATATATAAAATAAAAATAGAAATAATGATTATTACCTCGTTTAGACGTTTTAGCACAAAAAATGTAAAAACCAAATTATAAATGCAATGAGAAATTTCGAAAGAGGAGGATGCCATCAACGAAGAAGATGAAATGACAAACATATTTGGGAGAGAAGAGGAAGAAGGACGGGAAGAGTCTCTGAATAGTCGAATACGTGTCCATCATTGATTGGTTTTGTCATAGTTTTGGCGAAACATACTTTCGCCATGACAGTCGTGAAACGGCTACGATGTAGCCACGTGTCCAAAATGCTCCCTAGCTGTTCATTTTTTTTTTTTTATTTACTTTATGATTGTCACTTTTCCTTTGGCGAAACACAGCACCGTGACCGCAACATGTCTCGCTCCTATTGGTTTCGCTTTGGTGGTGGCGAAACTTAAAGTAAAATTTGCCTTTTGATTAACGAAACCATTCCTTTTTTGACACGTGGTTCAATCCTATTTATTTTACGTTTTCTATGGCGAAATCAATTAATAAATATTTTAAATTAATTACTATTTCGCCAGTCGTTATGGCAAAAATTATGGACACGTGACAAATTCATCCCAGATAAGGAAATTGTTTCAGATCTACCCTAACTTAATAAAATGTTTTTTAATTAACAATATTTAAATAAAAATGCCAAAAAATAGAATAAAAAATATAAGTCTCAATCATTTTTTTATTCTTTCTATACAAAATCACTTATCTAAGTTTCTTCTTTTCATAAATTTAGCACATTCAAGCACAAGGTTAGGAGCGAATCTGTTTAGTGAAATAAGAAAAAAACGTTGATTGGACGGAGAAAAGGTATGATAACTTACAAACTTTATTTTATGGTATTTTAAGACGTCACAGTTAGAATCTCTAAAATTATCAAGTGTTTTTAGTAAATGAAATTGTTTATATGTGACTTTTCTCAACCCTTATCTGAAAATATTTTGTCATTTGCAATGTGATTCTCTTACTAATGCTTGATATATACCATAAAACATATCTCAGCAGGACAAATCTTCCATTAGCAATCTCGACCGCTGACTAGCAGTTGTTGCGAGATCATCATCGTTTGCATCACTTCTATGAGCAATCAAAGCAACTATTTTCTACAAC